CCTCCAGGGCGCCCTCCTCCCCACCGGATTCCTGCGGCCGGGCCGGAGCCCCTCCAACAGCCGGGTTAAAGGCGCCTTCAGCAAGGTCAAGGCGCGGCCGAATGGCACCTGGGATTTTTGTTTTTTACCAGCCACGCACTGGCTTTGCAATTGCATTGTTAAGGATTATGGCAGCGGCAGGAAATCCGAAGGGCCCCACAGGTCTGCGCGAGGGAGGATTTATTTCACAGCGCGAACACATTCAGACAGATCGGGGAATTCAGTGGGAAGGGATGCGGGGTTTCAGGACGCTGGAATGTGGCAAAAACAAAACACTCCCCACCCATGCACACCGCCGCCTCCTGCGGGCTGGGGGGAGGGCCTTCAGGGCCAGTGTGCCCCAGACTTCGTCGATCCGCACGGCTCGGTCAGGGCTGGGGTGGCTTATCCCTCCACATACGAAAAACAAGATTAAAAACACACTACTCCTGTGGCTTCTCTATCAAAGCCCATCAAGGCGATACTGGCTGTGGCGGCGAAGGAAAGAAGAGAGACCGGGAATAAATGCAGCAGACTGCTGTCCTCGGAGGGAGAGGCGAGGGGACGGAGGCCATACCCAGCACCCATCCGCATCCCATCCCCTTGAGCGATGGGCTAGCGCAGGAAACCAGGAATAGGTATGCATAATGGTGGCCGCCCTGGCAGAGGCCAGCACTCCACTCCCTAATCCCGCCGGCGTGGGCCTGGATGGCTGGACATCTCTAAGGGGCAACAGACCAGGCAAGCGGGTCTTTAAACACGCGAAGGACACTGGGTGTGAAAGACAGGGAGGGGCTCCAGGAGAGGCAGAAAAGGGGCCCTAGAGCTCACCAGGACACTAATCAGTTTCCTAAAACAGCGTTCCCTGGAAGGCCTCCCAACACCCCCAGGGGAGGCTCAGGGTTCTGAGGGCTCAATGAAACCCGAGTTCTGACTGGCTCCTCCTCTGCCATCAATTCCGCATGCCCCCACCCAGCCCCTGCCTCGGTCACCGGTTCTTTGGGTACAGAAGCATCAGCAACCCAACACCCACCGCAGAAGTGGGAGCCTTGGCACGAGGCGTCTCGTAGCTCTCTGATCTCGAGGTGGGGGCGCCCGGTACTCACACTCCCCAAGCAGGCAAACTTTCAGGCTTGTCTTTCGAGAACAGGGAGCTCGCGTCGCAGTTCTGGGTAATCACGGAGGCAGCTTACATAATTGCCCGCGACGCCGCTCGGAAGATCTCCCTCGGTACGCGGCCTTGCGACTCTGCACATGGCACCCTCTTCCCCCTGCCCGGGAACCCGCGCGCCCCGCCGCCGCCTTCTACAAAGCAGAGGGGCGATCTCGTGTGCCAGCCAAACACCAAGTGTTCGTGCAGGTTCCGGCAAAACCCTGGCTGCCTCCCTGCGTCCCTTTCGCTGCTTTGGTGGCTTATGGATAACTGCATCTCTACAAACCTTCTCATCAAGGTTGGGGGTGGAAGGGAATTCTAGACCGACCGGGGCTGGGGGTGGGGTGGGATGGCTAGCGCCGTTCTGAGGAGGGCTCCGCACCCAACTGAGAAGTAATACTCTCATCCACATGGACCCTGGTGCACACACCGCCTTAACGTTTCGCCCTGAAAGGGGAGCCAATTTCCAAAGTTAGAAAGCACTTTCCTACCTTGCCTAGACGGGGACAAGGCAGAGAAGGGCCGGGCAGCGGCCAGCGAAGCTCACCCTACCGCCCCGCCAAGGACTCACTAGTTGAACCAACCCCCGCCCTTCCCCCAAGTAGTTGGCTGTGTATTCCTCGGTTGCGTGTACACACACACACACACACACACACACACACACACACACCACGCCACTACCTTCCCGTCT